AGTTTCTCCTAATCCTTTTAGGTTTTTAATGATAGATTCTAGTCTTCCTCTCAACTTGACATTCCAAAATATATGTAATGTACATTCCATAGACTCCAAGCTTCCTCCATTGGTTATTTTCTATGAGCAATTTTCTATAAATAACTGGCAAAACCTGATGGACGGCTCCTGATTATACAAGATCCATCCAGAGTCCCGGCCAGGAGAGTGCGCACCATCAAGAGAGGATTCAGGTCTCAAAAATCACAGACTGTATGAACTCGCCTCCTCCCAACCCTGGGAGTTTCTGTTTTCTGTTCTGCCTTATTTGTTAAGAGTTTGCATATCTGATGAGGTCGAGCACACACATGGAGGGACAGGGATTCTTCTAGAACTCTCCATGAGTGCTCTGGCAGGAGTCATTGTCTGGAGGCTTTACATAACTCCTCCTTTCTCTGCTCCATTGTAACACAACTTCTTCACCCAGCGCTGCTTCTTCGGAAAACGCTTATTTGAAATGTCTCCCAAGGAATCAAATTAAGCCTAATTATACTTAATGGCAATGACTGGTGCTTAATTTGGATGGTAATTCTGCTTAATTGAGATGCCTTCAGGTGTCTAAGTGGTGTTCTAAGAGTGCTGGTGTGCGCGAGGGGATCGATCTGGAATTCTCCATTCCTTCTCTGAACCTTTCTACAACATAAGTGATGAAGCAGAATGACACAAGTTTCCTGAAGTGTAAGCGAATGATTGGGTGTTCAGAATCAACCGAGCTCACACACGACCTTTCCGAAATCTGCACAGACGACAGAGAAAGTGAAACTTCCAACACAGACAAGAGAAACATAGCCCCAAAGTGCACGGAAGCCATCGTCTGCATGTTACAGCTGGGGCAGGTTCAGCAATCAGCCTGGAGAAGTCCAAGAACACACTCTTGTTCTTGACTAACTAGACGCCCGGGGAGTCTAGGGAAAGAGCAAGAGGAGAGGCTTTGGGGACTTGGGCACAGCAGAGGGACGGTGGACACCTGCTCTCTGCATGGGGCACACTCCACAGGGAGCCGTGTACTGATGGTCCCTTCTCCTGGCTTTGGGGTGTTTTTCTCCTCCGGCTCCCTGGGAGCTGCACCCCAGGCCTTGACTCAGCAGGGCCCAAGGAACTCTGCCAGGCACATTGTGGAGGGTTTCTTCCCTGTGTTGGTCTAAGAGGCCGTGCGTCTTCATGGAAAGTGCGTCTGCCTGGGACCAAAGTCTGGAGAGCCTTGGCCACCTTGCTGCCCCGGGATGAGATGTCGCTGCTGTGCATGGACAGAGAATGGTAATGCCAGGGCCCTGGAGGGGGTCACTGTGCTGTGGGAAGTAACGTGGACTCTCCTGCTGCTGCCCTTTTGGCTCTTCTGTCCCTCTGACCAGAGCTCCTGTCAGTGTGTTCGATTGTTTCCAATATCATCTCATTGTTCCATTTTCTTACATGATTCATCAAAGTGATGGCACACCAGAGAGAGGCAAAGGAAGTGACTCTCCTTGCACATGGCAGTGAAGTGCTGTGGGTGCCTCCGGAGCTCGGGGCTCTGACTTCCTGAACCTTGGTTTCAGGCACCAGGGACCCTGAGCTCCCTTTCAATGAGAAATTTCAGTATTTCTGCATGTCTTGGAAAGAGGGAGAAAATCCTGTGTATCTGCATATCTTTAATGTACTTTAGAGAACATTTATCATCATGCATGTGTAAATGCACCTAAATGCAATTTGAAAATACTGGAAAGGTGTTCATGAGATCACCTGAAGATTAGCTCGGAGGCACAGTCTTCTCAGCTGAAGAGTTTTGAGTGTTCCTCTCACAGGAAAAGAGCTTACCTTTGACCGCGTGTACGGCCAAGTGGTGCGAGGGCATTCCCTGCAGCTGAGGGCAAACCCTCCCTTCACAGGTCCTTGAAAGGAAACAAGGCATGGCTTCCCATGACTCCTCACTACTCCTGACACCTCGGTCCCTGTCTCTGGTTTCCAGTGTTAACGACACACTTGTGACCTCCAGGTTTGCCTCTGGGAGTTGTGTCTGCTTGGATTCGCAGCAGGTCCTCACCCCCTGCTGCCGACCACCAAACAGCCCTCCACATAGCACCATTGGTTCTCGAGGTCCCTTCGTGGTTAGAGGAAGGGAGAATGCATTGCTCCAAACTGGGACAACTGTCATACCAGTCAGGGTGCTGTGAGCCCTGGTGCAAGGACAGTGGGCCTGGCGAGGCTCCTCCAGGGAAACCGGAGCACAGCTGGCACTAGAAGGGCTCCTCACCCACCTTCCAAGTTGTTCTTCCTTCCCTTTCCCACGACTCACAGCACCTGCTGGAGAGCGACTCAGAGTGGAGCCATGTGGGAGGACGTAGTGCTGCACCAGGGCCCCGCCTGGGCCTCCCTCTCCCTCACCCTCAACTGGGCACCACGTCCTGCTCAGCCTCCAGCTCAGACAACTCTGGGATCCTCTCCCTTAGAGCTGCCTCTGAGCCCGCTCCATGTCAACTGTCATCGTCCATCGCTCAGAGTGTCAGAGCAGATTCGCAGCTGTGCCTCCACCTCTCCTAGAACCTACTGCCACACGTTTTCCTCCTGCGCACAGGAGGGGCCTGTAGGGAGAGCTTATGCAATGGCTGCTGTCATGTGTGTCTTATCGGGGGCTTTCCCCAAAGCAGGGCCTGGTTTGCTTTTGACTGTGATCCTAAAGGACATGCGGGAAGGACCAGGAGAAACCCCACCTGGAGTGTGGAGCTGGGCTGTTTCCATGGGCACTGCTCCCTCCTGCTGGGAAGCCTGCAGAGCCCTGTGGACTGCACCTCTGGACTCCCTGCCCCACCACTAGAGGGAGTGTTTGTCCCCCCGTCCTGGCAAAGGGCTGTGGGAGCAGCCTCCTGCTCAGGGTTTGGTCTGTGCCCTGAAGACAAAGAGGACTCCAGAGGGCTTCACTGGTGGGGGTCTCAGCCCCAGGGCAGGAAGTGCGAGGTTCTGGGAGCAGCTGAGGGTAGCAGTGGTCGCCAGGGATTAGGGTAATCGGGGATGAGCTTAGCACAGCATAAGAACACACAGAGACCGCAGGACCTGCTGGGGTGGCTGCCTGGAGCTCCCGAGTGGCTCTCTGACCCACTGCCTTTGTGTGATGGCCTCACGTGATGTTCACAGGGCCACATGGAACATGTGGACGTCAACTAAGCCTGTGACTTACTGTAATGGCACAGTAGCACACCCAGTGCTTCACAATGTCCCAGTCAGATCATTCAGCCCCAGTGGCATTCCCCTCGCAGGGACGCCCAGTGCAGTACATGCCACCTTCTAGAGCTACTTCAATACTCTGCCTAGGGCATCCCCAACAAGGTGGACTGCACGGGTATGTCTCCCTAAAGCTTCTCCATCTAAGCTTCAGGACCTTTGCTAGATTCCCAAGGTCTAATAATTTACCTTGCTAGAGATTAAACAGAATAATGTTTAAATTTAAGTGAATGTAGACATTACTTAAAACAATTCTAAACTAGTAACATGATATACTTTTAAAATTCAGTTTTAAATAAAACTCCTTTTTGACAGACACATAAATGCAACGGCTTGGCAAACGGTCGTCATATTGTTGACTAACTTTACATCTTTACTACTGAAAGTTGGCCACGGTATTGCAGCTACTTAGGCACGCATGTGGATGTGGTCCTCTTCACAGCCACTTTCCAGAGAAGTCTTCTTATCACACGCTCTTACTATCTGTCCCTGGGGCTCAGGGAACTCGGCTCCCTTGCCCAAGGTCATGGAGCTACTGAGGGGCAGAGCTTGGTAGGGACTTGGGTAAGTTATTGACCTGCATACGGAGAACTGAGTGGGCCACAGTGGAGCGACTCAGCCCAGGCGACACATGGCCCCAGAACACTGAGGACCCAACCATCATAAAACCGGGGTCTTTGGCAAGAGCTGTAGCAGCTCCAGACCCCTCTGTGTAGAAGGAGGAAGTCCACAGCCCTTTATATTACCACTGTCATGTCACACAGCAGTGGCCTTGCTGCAGGACAGAAATCAGCAAGGGAAAGAAAAGGCATCCAGAAGACTTCCCCCAGTGCAGTCAGAGTGGCTCTGCTCCTGGGCGGGTGCTCGGGGCACCCAGGAGGCCATGCAGAGGACCCAGAGTGCGCAGATACAGACCCCACCCGGTGAGCCCTGCAGACACACCCTGCTTCGAATGACTGGAGACTCCGCAGCGGAGTGATCTTTCTGAATCTAATATTACTATAAACATAGGCTCTGAACATTGTTTATTTTAGTTTATCTAAAATCCACACTCAGAATGATTTTCTGTCAGTTTTTAAATCAAATCAATATAAAGATGTACCACCTTTGTTTTCCTGTTTCCACTGGTAGGAATCCCAATTGCGTTTCAACCAAATTAAAAACAGCCCAACTCTAGCAAACACAAGCGATTCTGAATGCACTCTCCTGGTGGATTATTCAGATGCAGTAACACAATTGTAGGCTGTGTGTGAGACACCCATGAGAACTAACCTGTCTCCACTGTCCTCTACTGCCAGGGGAGCACACCTGCTACTTAGTGCCACCTAAGGTGAGAAATCACCAAAAGCAAGGCCACCCGTCTGGCTTTTAGGAAAGCACAGAGATCCTAAGGAAAAAGAGCCTGTGAGTTTTCACGTGCTGTAAAATGTGCTCTCTGCATGTAGGCACAGGAGGAGAGGCCATCACACTGAGTGGCATGTGCAGAAACACTGGGCCTGGGTGGAGCCGCCGATGGGACAGCCACAGCGGGAAGGGCTGCGACCCCTGAGGGCAGCATGCCCAGACCTAGCTAGGCACCACCAGGAAAGGACAGCGAGAGGACAGCGTGACCCTGCTGACTACACTGCTTTCCCCGGGTGTGGGCATTGGACACAAGCAGTGCTGGACTTTCAATGCCAGTGGCAAAGTAAGGGGGGTGTGCTTTACACAGTGGCCCGAGCCCGCGTGTCACCTGAGGCAGCACACCCTGGGAGCCGCAGCCTCACCTTGTCGGGGTCAGCGGTGGTGATCACCCACACACAGTGTGCGTTGTCTTCGTACTGAACCGGGTAGTTCGGGGAGGTGATGACGCCACTGGGCCCACGCAGATTCGATCCACAGGTCCTGGCTGGAAACAGAAACACGGTTACCTTCTACGGCATCTGATGGTGTGTGAAAGATATATTCATATGGGACTTCAATCAGCTTCTAAGGGACATGAACTAAAGTTGGCAGAGGTGGATTCTGCTCAGCCTGCGGGTTCCTGGTTAGTGTCCCAACATGCGCTAGGAAACGTTCATATTGGATTTGCAAAGGCTCACAGGATGACCTCACGGTGACAGCACCATAGAAAATGTCAGTACCAATCCGTCGACTTCAAATCCCAGTCTGTCTCAAACACACGAGATACATGTACACACTCGGCCTAGCTCCCAGGAGGCCACATGGCCAGAGAGACTCAAGGACACATGGCACTGGAGTCTCAGGGCCAGGGCCCCTAACCATGCAGATGTCACCAACAAGTGAACCAGAAGCAGCAGTCCCCACCCGTTGGCCCAGCCCTGCTCAGATGAGGAGGGCAGAAGGACGGTCCCCAAGCCTCTTTCAACCTTGAGTTCTCTCTACAAAGACGATGCCAGGGTCCTTACAGTCAATGCACATAGGCAGGGGGATGTTATTCAAAGTGTGGAGAACGAAGACAGCAATGGGCTCTGGAAGCCGGAAGACAGCAGCGCCTCCCGTCTCTCCATCCTGAGGGTGGCCTGAAGGCAGAGGGAAGCACAGCAATCCCCGACCAGAATGAGCGGCTCGGGTTGGGGGTAAAAGTGCTTTGCCTGCCTTCTTCTTTGGGGAAGTCTTTTTAACAATAGGTGAATTTGGAAATCTAACGTCTCCTAGACTCGAGACTCAACATTGATCACTTCGGCTGGGTCTTGGGAAGGAAAAGGAGAAGCCGACTTCACAGAGGCGCACAGGGAAGAAGCTGGGCTTCGTTTCCCCACCACCACCGCCATCAGGCACAGGGGCCTCCCAGGAAGGGACCCAGGAGGGACCTGACCTGATAGGGGCCTATTCCCCCTCCCCTGGAATGAGCACCAGCAGGCCAGTCACTGCCCTAGGAGCCTCACACCGAGTCCAGGTACGTGCACTTGAGGTGGGCTTGAGGTGGGCTGCTACCTGCACCCCAGCCCCTCTGACTCTCCCCATTTATATTACCATAAAGTGACACAGAGCGCGTCTGTTCCCAATAACACTTCTTTAGGTGATCGTACCTACAGCTTTTCCTTTCCCATTGGGTCGGGATTTCTTGATGTGTCCTTACTTGTCTGCAGACCCCAGGGCCAGACACAATGTCTGCTGTCCTTCATATGCTAATGTGACAAGATCACTTTGGACAACTTTTCCATTGCTTAAATATACTATGGAAATAATCAGCTAAAAAATGGCCTACTCTATGTTAAAATTCACTTTTTTAAAAACCAGGTATTAAACCAGGGGCTCTCAACAACTTAGCCACATTCTTAGCCCTTTTTATATTTTATTTAGAGATAGCATCTCCCTGACTTGCTTAGGGCCTCACTAAGTTGCTGAGGCTGGCTTTGAACTTGTGATCCTCCTGCCTCATCATCCCAAGCCACTGGGATTAAAGGCATGTGCCACTGGACCCAACCAAAATTTACTTTTAAAAATTGGTATTTGCTGTCCAAATGAATTGCATTGCCTAAATAAAGATGGGCACAAGTTTGTTTTTCAGAACCCAGTGCGTGTGTCACGGCTCTGAAGGTCTCTGACAGAAAGCACAACGCGAGCCTGCACCCCTCCAATGGGCAATGAGTCTTCACTCCCTAACAGATGCCTTTAGCAACATGTTCTTGAGAGTGCCATGACTTCAGACGTGAATTCACCTAAAGCACACTATGCTAACAGGATTAATTAGAAAACCATAAAAGGACAGTTATCAGTGCACAACTCCAGTTAGGAGACCTTTATGATACAATTTATACTTTGGAACTTTGAATCATTTAGAGCTTTGCACATCAGAGAGACACTCAATAAATACTTGTTTATTTGACTATGAATCAGTGTAGCCACAGTGCCTTTCTAAGCACGTCACACTTTGAGAAAGCAGCTCTGCTCTGGGGAAGTCGTGCATGGGAGTCCACTGTGGCCCACCCCCTGCATCTGTGCCCAACCTGGCATCAGCCCCAGCTGTCCCCACCTGGTGACCAAATCTCACCATCTTTGGCCATGCCTATCAGTCAACTTCAAATCCCAGTCTGGCTCGAACACACGAGATACATGTACACACTCGGCCTAGCTCCCAGGAGGCCATAAGGCACAGAGAGACTCAAGGACACGTGGCACTAGAGTCTCAGAGCCAGGGCCCCTAATCATGCAGATGTCACCAACAAGTGAACCAGAAGCAGCAGTCCCCGCCCGTTGGCCCAGCAGTCCCCGCCCGTTGGCTGCCTGCTTTGAAGCTGGACTCCCACTTGACTTATTAAAACTGATCTACCATTTGGAGGGGAATTATGACTCCAGTGGTTCTACTTTGAGTGAGTTGTTGGAAATATGCATGGAGGAGCAGCACAGCTCTACGTGTCCTAGTAGCACAGGGTCCGGCTCCTCCTCAGACCTTCAGCGGTGAGTGTTGGAGATGAATCTACAGAATGTTTTTTTCATTTTGTTTCTTCTTAGCGACTTATCTTCATCCTTGAAATGCATCTCAATAGCAGATTATTCTTGTCTTAATCCACATTTCTTAGGAAGCTATCAAAGGAAATATCTGAAATGAAGTGTAAGGGCACACTCAGGGCAAATATAATTGTCAATTTTGTTCATTAAAGCTTTGCATTTAAAGCAGTTCCCGGCATTTGAGGGTTTCCTCTATAAATACTTGTTGTGACTCTTGAACAGGTAAAGCCTCTTTAAGTCACATGATCTACCTATAATTACTTAATTTTCATCCTTAATTTTTGAGAACTTTAGCTAGCACCTCAGTCACTGTGCTTCTAACTCATCTCCATCCTTATCATCTGCTTCTTCACCACCTGAAGGTCACCTCCCCTCATGCCACCAGTGATGATTCCTGAATTACTGCTTTCTTGCAGCATGGTGGTACCAAGAGTGACGATTCTCAGTCTTCCCACTGACAGATACTCAAAGCTCAATCGCACGTGTCTTTATCCTGGATAGTAACGTGGCCTGAGTGGCCATGATTTCTCCCAGCTGCCACCCACAGGCCGCGGTGCAGAGCAGTAGGGTCTTGGATTCCTGCAGCCCTGGGGGCTACCCAGGGATTCTGCCTGTTGCTGGTTCGGAGGCAGGAAGTGTTACATTAAAGTCTCTGGATTTGGGAGTGGGGAGAACACAGCCTGCTCACAATTCTTTCTTTGTCACAATCCACATCTTCTTCCTCCTCCATCAGCTGCAAGATTTTAAGATTTCTTTTCCGGGCAACTATATGCTAGTGTTTTAAAAACTCAACATTTAAGAATTAAAAGAGCTTGAGAGAAGAAAAGCAAAGCCTTGGAGGCCCGATGGAGAGCCGCACGGACTGGACTCAGTGGTGAGCTGGCGGAGGTGGAGAGCTGTTGGGGACGTATGGATCAGAGAGCCCGATGTCCTTCCCTGGGCCACACTTAGGGCAGCAGTTGGGAGAAGCCCACCTGCAAGGCAGGGAGCAGAAACAGAGGTGGGGAATCGGGGTCACTCCAGGCCCACTATGGAGGGGCAGAGTGGATGTCCATCTAGCCACATAGGTCACTGTGCTGCTGCAGCTGTCTGTGCTGTGCTCAGGGACGAACCCAGCAGACACGGGGCCATAAACGCATGGGGACAGCTCCAAGTCTGCACGCTGGCCCCTGAGATGCGTCCCCCGGCTTCTCGCCTCCATGCACAGCCTCCACTGGCTTCTCAATTCGTGCCAAGGGTGGACTGCATAGCTCCTCCTTGGGGCAGAGCTCGGAGAAACGTGTCCTGAGAGGGACTGGTCACTTGTTTGGCATCTGTGGAGGGAGGGACCCTTACCATTGCCTCTGTACTAAGCCGGCGTCCAAACAGCCAACACAGGGTTAAGGAAGCACAGGAGAAATTGCACCAGCACCAAGAAAGCTTCACAGTGAGCTCTGTACGCACCTTCCCGTCACTGAAGTGTGAGGCACACGTTTGCATGTGAGAGACTAATGTCACTGTCACCCTTGCGAAGGCCTCGCCCCTCGTCAAGATCTTCTATGAAATATAGCACCTAATGTAGACTAATGCCCACTTACACGCATAATAAATGTCCTTGGATAACAGCCATGACCTGATGCATAACTGATGTTACTCTCTTGACAGTTTTCTACACTTGTAAACTCAAATTTCACTCATGTCTTGCATGTATTCCAAGTAGAGCTAGAATTCACAAAACAGTATGTTGGTAATGCAATATGTCATGAGGGAGAATGAATCAGTTTTCAATGCCAATGTATGCCATTTGTCCATTTAATCAATGAATACGTATTAAGTACAAAATTCATTTCTTTCACATGATTTATCTAACACAAATAAATTACAGATTCATTTAAGTACAGTTCCAGAAAATCCTTTCTGTTCTGTAGTAATTGCTCAATTGAATTAATTGAAGGAAAGAATATTCTAATCAACTAAATTTAAATTATTCGGATAGAGGAGTCACATTAGAAACTTTCTCTCATGCAATTTCATAAGTATATAGACTAGTTCATTTCTTACATGTTTTAGAGGAAATAATTACTGTTAATCATATATTTTCTGTCTACTCCAGATTGTCAACCCAAACAGAGGACAGTGGGGCACAGCGGTCAGGAGCCTCTTCTCTCTGTCCCTGAGTTCCAGGCCTGGCTTAGGCCCTCTCCTAGTTATTTAGCTTAGGCCTCTCAGAGTGTTCAGCCAGTAAGAGCCTTCACACCTACTGCTGTCTCGGGGCTGCACGAAGGTGCATGGGGCACCAGGCCTGACCAGCCACACCACAGAGCTCGTGTTGAAGTCCACGAGGAAGGAAGTGACAGTGAGTCCGGCCTCGAGGAGGCTGCAGACAGGGAAGAGCCGCACTCCTGGCCTTGATGGAGAAGTTGGCAAATACAGTCATCAACAGGTTACCTCAGG